TCCCTCCCCCCCCCCCCAAAAAAGCCTTTTCTCAATACCAGGTACAGCGTTAAATGAGTTCATTCGATGTGGCATTAACTCTACCCAGTTCTGACACTCGAGGCAGTTGTTGGCTTGGCTGCACCTATTCAGAAAAAGAGGTTTAAAGAAATTAAATGCTGCTAGCCAGCCTCGCGCAGCAGGAAAGTGGCCACACCGGGATAGAATCCTGTCTGTCTGGCCTGGGAATCAGCCAAGGTGCTCCATACTCTCTTCTTCAGCAGAGAGAAGCCAACCCCACTGAGAAGAGTAAGCCCTTTGGGATTCTAGGGTCTTTGTGGTAAGCCAGTGAGTGAGTGGGCCATGAACAAGAACTGCCTCCGCGTCTTTGTCACTCGCCTGCTCTAAGAAAAGGCCACCAGGGGGCGCCGCTGGGTCTGGCTTCTACGGCCGTGGGAAGCCCACATCTGCCCAGCAGGTGCCCCTGCCCAGAGCAAACAGGACGCTGGGGAGCCCCGGGACCTTGAAGATAAGGCTTGGACGAAATATATCCGGTGAGAGGGTTAGGGGGTGCAGAGGTGTGGAGGGTACCGAAGAAAGAGGCACTAGACGTGCCCAGAGAGCTGCTGGGGCCCCGACCGGCGGCCATGGACCCTATGGGGACAACAGGTGAGTCTTCACCCTCCTGCATAGCCTAGAGAGGTCCCCTGAGAATGAGAACACAGACACACACACACACACACACACACACACACACACACACGGACACACACAGGAGCACACAACACACACACACACACGGACACACAGGGACACACAACACACACACGGACACACAACACATACTGTACTAATGGAAAATGTGGGGCCCAAAAAGAGTGCCAGCTGAGCTCCAGACACAGAACTAAACCTAGGCCCCCCTCTTTTTCTCCAGAGTTCCCAGGTTCCCTGGCACCTAGGAATCACTAAACCTTTCTTCCTTTCCCTACCCACCCCCACAGGGGACGCTGAGCCTGCTCAATCCATTTTTCTGTCACTGTTTCTTGGCAAAGCAGTCCAGCGCCCCCTAACCCACCGCCGCCCCGCCCCCCAGTTCCTTGAATGGGCCCATTCTGAGCAAAGCCCGTGTGTCTCTGGCTCCAAACTGCCTTCCTTCCCATCCGGAATTCCTTTCCCTTCTAGTTTTCCAGGCAGGGTAGAACAAAAATCCCTCTGGCAGGGCCTGTCGTAGCAGAGTGACTGAGCTAGCAAGATATGTCAGCTGCTTGCTGGTGGAGGTAAAAGGAAGGGGCTGCCTTTTCTGGAGTGGGCCATAGCTGAGGCACCATCCGGGTTACCATCTGAGTAAAGGCCCACGGAGCCTTTGAGACTCTGTTGGCTCTTGACTGTGATCCCTCTAATCCTACTCTTGGCCTAAGTCAACATGTACTTGGTATCACCTCACCTGCACCCCGGAATCTTAGAAAGCCAAAGTAGCTACGGTCTAAATTCAACTGCCATTCCCCCAGACGAAAGTCGGTCCAGGGAGGGCCAAGGGAGTCACCACTCAAGGACTTACTTTGAAGTGGTGGTCCAGACTGCCACTGGACCCCAGTTCTCCTAGACCTAAAGAGTCAATCCTTACATTGAGGAGGAAGTTTCTCCCATGCCCTTAGGGAAGGGAAAGCGGATTCCCGAGGAAGGGGTCTATGAGGTCAAGAGCTGACCAGGAATGGGCACTTTGGGAAGCTGTTAGAACCTAGAGGGAGGAGATTAGAGAATGAGGGCCTATGGTTAGTCGGCCTTGCTGCAGGGGCATCGGAAACAGTACTGCAGGTTAGACGTGGGCACGTAGGCGGCTAAATACAGTCCCCCCACGGTTTTTTCCGCCGGCTTCCCTGCAGACCCTTCGGTGCACCCGGGCCCTTTGACTCACCTGAGCCTGCGGGACAGTTCAGAGGCAAGGCTACAGAGCGACGGGCCAAGCCTCCTAGGGAGTTGGACCAGGTAACGGCGTGGGCAGCTTGCCCTAGGTGGGGACTGCCAGACAGCTAGAGCGAGGCGAGGCGGCAGCTGCATTTAACCTGGGGCGGGCGGGTGGGGAGGGGGAGCGCGGGCTGCGACCCCTCCCACTGGCAGGGAGAGATCTCCCCCTTCCTCTGAGTACTGGGGCCGGGCAAGCGCGGTGCCCCCTTCTCCTGCCACTGTCGGAGCTGCAAGCTCGAGCTGCGGGCCGGAATTCGGCTACAGCTGGAGTCGGGGCGGCGACACTCCCGGCAGCCGGAATGCTCTGGAATCCTACACGAGACACTTCCCAGAGGAGAGCCCCAAGAGGCGGAGCGGTCCTGGCCGCCGACTGCCTGGCCTGGCTCGGCTTCCAAGGACGCGCCCGGTTCTTGCCCTCAGCTGTCCCTTCCAGGAGTGATGGAAGGCCGGGACTTGGTCCTGCTAAGAGGGTAAAAGGACTCAAAAGGACAGCCTCAAAGTTCTTAGCTCTCTTCAGGGCCCAACTGCTCATTTCCCAAATATCTCCCACCATGCTCCTTTTAATTGTGTAAGTTTTGTGAGAATCCATCCTCACCTGCTAAACCCTCAGACTGACAAGTAGCAGACCCCAGAGAGCTGGCCTAGCTCACCCTACAAGGCCAGTTCTTGACTCCCTGTATTCGAAGAACGGAAAACCCTCGTAGTAATACGCCAGCGGTATTGTTTGCCCATCAGAAAGACTGGGTTCCATCTCCATCCTACTAATGCGGCTTGGGGCCTCATTCACATCTACACCCATCTGCCTGCTGGAACTGCGCTTGTGCCCTGGACCTGGGGCCGGTAAAACCTGTTTCTTCTTATTCTTCTGGGGTGAAGGTTTAATTACCATTTCCACAAAGCCCACCTCCAGATGAAGACCAAATGTAGGGCTTTCAAATGCAGCTCTTCCTCCGTGGCCCCAGACTACAACAGCCAGGAAGTCATCCACAGAGTGCAGCACCTGGGTGATCGGCACAGGCCCTTGACCCGACCCCTGGGGGAATGGAAATCAACCCCAGTCTCCTGCTTCAGCCCACATAACCCTTGACTCTTCCAGTGGCTGGTTGTCCCATCCCTATTCCTAGGACACCCCCAGAGCACGCCACCATCCTGAGGGAAGGTGTGCGCACATGCCTGCAGCAAACATGTGAGCAGACTGTGTGGATCCTGCATGCCAAGGTGGCTCAGAAATCCTACGGAAACGAGAAGCGGTAGGTGACTCCATCCACGCCCAGGTCTCCGCAGCCTTCAGCCCTGTACACCCTTCCAAACCTCTCACCATTTAGCTGCTTTGACATCTTGGAGGCCTTAAGGCTGGCACCTCAGGTACTGGCCAACCAGAGTCCTGTTCCTCAACCAATAATAGCCACCAACTGTGATCTACAGCAGAATTTGACAGGGACTTTCAGATCCCCACATCCCCACACGTTACCCATCCATTCAGTTACTTATGAGGTCCTGTGGTCGCTGCTGGGCACTAAGCATCCAGCTGCACAAGACTGATACATGGCATCTTTACTCAAGTGCAAAAGAGACAGTTACCTCCCCACAAATCAGCAAACAGGATACTTTAGATTGTGATGAGAGCCACAAGGAAAACAGAGAAGGGTTACATAGTAGAAACCAGAGGGGAAAAGCTTAGCTTGAAAGGTCAAGGGGGGTCAAAGGCTCTTTAGGATGTGACATCAGAAATGGGGTACCAGTACTGAAATGGAGTCAGCCATGAAAAATCTACAAGCGTTCCAACTAGAAGGAACAGAAAATGCAAGGGCCTCAAAGCTACTAGTCCTGTAAAGCTAGTCCTGTAGGAGACAGAGATGGAGTGGGGAGGGGAGAGGAAGACTGAGACTAAACAGAGGGGGGCATGTTGCAGGAAATAAACAGGAGAAGCAGAAAGTGCCCAGGTCATGTGAAGACTTAGGATTTTAAACCACTAATACAGAATAGCATAATTTGACTCATGTTTTCATCATTATTAATAATATTGCTTAGTTTGTTTATATTTGGGGGTAATAAGACAGACTCTGGCTTTATAACTAGGGCTGCACTTGAACCCACAGTAATTCTCCTGTCTCAGGCCCCATCCCCTTCAGTGCCCTGTGCTGGGATTAGGGTTACAGGCAAGAGCCACCAAACCCAACTTAGTTGAACTGTTTTCTTAAGATTTATTTATTTACATATTTTATGTTTATGGTGCTTTGTCTACATGTATGTCTGCACACCAGAAGAGGGCATAGGATCCCATTATGGATGGTTCTGGGTCACCATGTAGGGGCTGGGAATTAAACTCAGGACCTCTGGAAAAGCAGCCAGCACTCTGAGCCATCTCTCCTGCCCCTTGACTGTTATTTTCGTTGTTATTGTTACTGTGTGTATGTGTGGATGCTACAACTCGTGTGGAGGTCAGAAGAGGACAACGTTGTGTGGTTGGTTCTCTTCTTCCACCTTTCAGTGGGTTCTGGGGATTGAACTCGGGTTGTCAGATTTGCCCTGGCAAGCATTTTATCTGCCAAGCCATAAGAAGTAATCTGGTAGATGGGCGGTGGTGGCTCATGCCTTTAATCCCAGTACTCGGGAGGCAGAGGCAGGCGGATCTCTGTGAGTTCGAGGCCAGCCTGGTCTACAGAGCAAATTCCAGGACAGGCTCCAAAGCTACAGACAAACCCTGTCTCGAGAAAAGAAGAAGAAGGAGAAGAATAAGAAGTAATCTGGTTGCTTGGTGAAAAACAAGTTCCAAGAGGGACAGTGACAAGGGAGAAAGAGTTGGAAGGCTGAGAGTGGGGAAGGCAGGAGGTAGCAGTTAGGATCCAGGTGGTAGGAAGCCAACGGATTCCAGATATGTTCTGAAGATGGAGTGGGCCGGACTGACAGGGTTTAATAAACAAAAGAATATTCTGTGTTAAAGGGATTCACTCGATTAGGGGAGGAGAGGGAATTATGATTCTTTGGGTTTATGTCTCTTTGAGACACTTTCGAGACAGTGAAAATGATATATCCAATTCTCTATGTGTTTCCAGGTTCTTCTGTCCTCCGCCCTGTGTCTACCTCGCCGGTCCAGGCTGGAGGGTGAAGCCGCTGCAAGACCAAGGTGAGAGAGCCCTCAGGGACTGTTTTCTGCAGGTAGGGCCAACTAATTCAGCAGGGTTCTGGAGACCAGCCGTTTGCAGTGGCAGTCTCGTTGCTCCCTCTGGCGGCAAGAACTAAGTTTGACTGGTACCTTGAGTTGTCCCAATCCTTCTAGGGTTAATTCCCGTCATTTTCTAGCCCACCAGTCTGCGGAGACCGGACCCACGGTCTGCGGCTACATGGGACTGGATGGCGCGTCCGGCAATGCTCCTGAGACGCAGAAGTTGAATTTCGAAGAGCAGCCGGACTCAAGGGTGAGACTGAATGAGAGAATATCCAGATCTTGCCTTTTCTTTGCAAAGGAGAACTCCCAAGTCCTCTCCAGAAGCCAAGAGATTACTAGCGGGGAGGCCAGAGGGTGGGTTCTGATCCAGAGCCTAGCTAGTGCGGCTTCTTGTCTTCTCTGATGGGACGCACGTCATAACTGCGGAAGGTTCGCGCATCCGCTGGCAGAGTTGAAATAAGACGGGCCCCATCCCCATGAGTCCCGTAGGAATTTGGTTGTGCCAAGACCCTGTACATCTCCGACGCCGATAAGAGGAAGCACTTCCGGTTAGTGCTGCGGCTTGTGCTGCGAGGAGGCCGGGAACTGGGCACCTTCCATAGTCGCCTCATCAAGGTGATCTCCAAGCCCTCACAGAAGAAGCAGTCGCTGAAAAATACAGACCGTGAGAGGGGGTGGAGTGGGAGGGTGCCATTCAAATCCAGAGCTGTGAAGTTGGGAGGAGGGTGCAGGGGTGGAGTCAGGGGGAGAGGTGGAGACTGAGTCGAAGAAGGGAGAAGTCTGGGGAGTAAGTGGCTGGCCAAGACCAAGAGAAAAGTCACGCGCATACATAGAGATCCCCACGTGATGCAGGAAAGAGAAGAGGCACCAGATTTGAGGACGACAGTGGGGGGCTAAGAACAGATAAAATCAGCAGGCAGGTGCCAAACCTGAGGCCAATTAAAAATGACCTTAAGGAAGTTGTGTCCCAGATCCAAGCAGTGTTCTAGGTGGCCCTTGGTATTCAGGAAATGTGGATGGCGTGGTGACATCGTGTAGAATCTGGCGGTCTGGGTTCGAGCCCTGCCCTGAAGTTTGCTAGCTGCCTGATTTCGGGCAGACTGACCCCTTAGCTGGAAATAAGAGTATCGACTGAGCTGATACACATAGTTAGAAAAGTAAAGGATGGGGAGACGGCTTGGTGGGTGAAGAGCTTACACACAAGCAGCAGGGTCTGAATCTGGGTCCCCATAAAAGTAGAATGTGACCCCAGCACTGAGCAAGTAGGGACAGGGGGATCCTCCTCGGCTCTATGGTCAGAAAGTTCTAGAAAAATAGTAAGCTCTCAATCCAGTAAGAACCCGTGTCTCAGAAAATAAGGTGGAGAGTCACACACACACACACACACACACACACTCACACACACAGGTGTGTGCACCCACCCACACATGTACACCCACACATGTACACACACACTCACACACACACACTCACACACACACTCACACACACACTCACACACACACACTCACACACATACACTCACACACAAGGGTGTGTGCACCCACCCACACATGTACACACACACACTCACTCACACACACACTCACACACACACACTCACACACACACTCACACACACACACTCACACACACTCACTCACACACACACACTCACACACACACACTCACACACACTCATACACACTCACACACACATACACACACAGGTGTGTGCACCCACCCACACATGTACACACATATAGAAAAAAGGAAGGAAGAGAAGGAGGAAGGACTGACGGACCTATTGTATAATAAATTCAATGGAAGGGGGCCTGGACTAGGTATAAATGGTATGCCAATAGTCTGACCAGTGTTGGGAGCAGAGAGGAAGACACTGCTCAGGGCCATATCCCTGACTGGTCTAAGTCAGTGAGAAAATAAAGCTGGGTCTCTGAGCACATGCCATAGGCTGGAAGACACATTGAGCTCTCGAAAAGTTCCCCTGTTCTTTCATATACGTGATCTGTGCTTGGAGGCTGGCCGCCTGTGCCACCCCTACCTGCTTCACACTTCCCGGCCTCCGGAGGCCTCCTGAACTCAGCCTAGTGTTAGCATTTGGTATTGAAGTCCTCCATGAAGACCCATGAACTCGCTCAGAGCAAAGCCCAGTGCACACCATCAGCTCCCAGCACAGTACCTACAGCCAACCAGGCCCTGAGTGACTTTGATGATCTCAGCCTACTGAACTGAAGGATGTCCAGTCACGCCGGGGAGCTGGCAAGCTCAGAAGCAGAACTAGAGCGGCCCTAGCTAACCCGCTGGGAAATTCCAATCCCTATCGTGTCCAGGCCAGTGGGCAGAGTAGGCAGGCTGTCAGAGAGGACAGGAGATCATCTGGGGAGACCGAGAGACCACACGAGGCCAAGGCACTGATCCCACTTCCCTCACAGTGTGCATCTCCTCGGGCTCCAAGGTCTCCCTCTTCAACCGCCTGCGCTCCCAGACAGTGTCCACGCGTTACCTCTCTGTGGAAGACGGGGCCTTTGTGGCCAGCGCAAGACAGTGGGCTGCCTTCACACTCCACCTGGGTAATCATAGAGCAGGCGCGGGCTGGGGGCTCCATGTGTGTTAGCATATTAAATCAACACTTCAGGAAGGTAAACCAGTGTTACTGAGCCTTGGGAGGGGAGGACAAAGGTTTGCCCCCACACACACACTGCCTTAGCTCACCCACTCTATTCTAATCCCTGTGGTTATGCCCTTTCCCCTCAAGCCAGTAGGTGGCTGGCCCAGGGAGCACACCTTTGTGGGGATGACGGCAGATTACCTCTCCAGGACTAGATCCCTAGTCTTCGCTTCTTCCGCCGTGGCCAGCTGTGGTGTGTCACAAAGCCAGAAGTGGAGAAGCAGGATTTGGGGCAGAAGTTCTGAAGCCTTTGTCCCTTTCTTTCATCTCCAGCTGATGAGCACCGTTCCCAAGGGGACTTTCTACCCCAGGAAGGTTACATCCGCTATGGCTCCCTCGTGCAGCTCGTCTGTACAGTCACGGGCGTCACACTGCCTCCTATGGTATGAGAAAGGACTCTGTATCCACACGGGTAACCACAGATCAGCACAGAAGTGTGACCACTGTGGGCAGGGCTGGGGGCGGTGAGGCCTGAAGGTCTAAAGACACCGATTCTCTCTTAGTGCTTCATGGGAGTGTGCCCGTGACCTCATGGCTATCAGAATAGAACTGCCTGGCTGGGAGAGCAGCCAGCCTCTGGGGAACCCCGCACCTTGCTACCCCTCTTCCTGACATCCCTCTGCTGCAGATCATCCGCAAAGTAGCCAAGCAGTGTGCCCTCCTAGACGTGGATGAACCCATTTCCCAGCTGCACAAGTGCGCATTCCAGTTCCCAGGTGACACTCCAGGAGGGGGTGGCACCTACTTATGCCTTGCCACAGAGAAGGTGGTGAAGTTCCAGGTGAGAAACAGAGACCGCCAAGCACATCAGGAAGAATCCAGAGGCCGTAGGATGTCAGATCTTGCCCACAAAGGTTGCTGCTTCTCACACAGTAGTGCCGTCCATGGACGAGTAGAGTCACAGAATGTAGAAAAGCACTGTAATTACCGTTAGTAACCAATACTCCTTCCCAAGGGCTTTTAGATGTTGGGATATGAAATTGCAGACTATATGAACTGGAGAGATAGCTCAGTAGGTAAGAGGATCCAAGTTCAAGTCCCAGCACCCACAAAGTGGGCCACACCTTTACAGCCACCTGTAACTCCAGGTCTAAGGGATCTGACAACCTCTTCTGACCTCTGAAGGTCACACACACATGGCAAAGATTCACATATGCATACATAAAAACAAAAAATTGCAGAATATAAACAAAATCATAGTAGGAAATAGCATTGAATATTACTGAACAAAGTTATGGAATGTCAAGGCACAAAAATTATACAGTGTGAAAAACAATAATTATTAAGTAATATTTCTTCCAAAAATATTATTCAAGAATGTTAGTAGATAGAATCATAAAATATAGAAAACAATAATTATAGCCAGATGATGTGCACATCTGTAAGCTCAGCATCCAGGAGGCAGAAACAGGCAGATCTCTGAGTTCAAGGCCAGCCTGGTCTACAGAGACACCCTGTCTCAAAGAAGAAGAAAAAAGGAAGAAAGACAGAGAAGGAAGAAAAGAAGGGAAGAGAAAAGAAGAAAAGAAAACTAGGTTATTAGAAACTAAACTGGTTCGCCAGGTGGTGGTAATGAGAGGCAGAAGCAGGCGGAGCTCTGTGAGTTCGAGGCCAGCCTGGTCTACAGAGTTAGTTTCAGAACAGGCTCCAAATGCTACACAGAGAAACCCTGTCTCAAAAACAAGAGAGGGGGGAGGAGAGAGAGAGAGAGAGAGAGAGAGAGAGAGAGAGAAGCTAAGCTAACTAAGCTGGTTCAAGGACTTAGTGTTCTCTAAGGGAGAGGATGGAACTCTTGGGGCTGCAGAAATGGTTACTTGGTAATGTACCTGTCCTGCCAACTCTGGCACCTGAATTTAATACCCTAGCACTCACATCTGTTTTTAAAAATTGGGTCGGGCGGTGGTGGCGCACGCCTTTAATCCCAGCACTCGGGAGGCAGAGGCAGGCGGATCTCTGTGAGTTCGAGGCCAGCCTGGTCTACAAGAGCTAGTTCCAGGATAGGCACCAAAGCTACAGAAAAACCCTGTCTCGAAAAAACCAAAAAAAAAAAAAATTGAACACGGTGGCCCACACCTGTAATCCCAGAGTCAGGAGAATTCCAGGGCTTTTCTTAGCCAATCTAGCCTTTGGCCAACTTTAAGCTTAGTGACAGACTGTCTGGAAAATAAAGTGGAGAGCAATTGAGGAAGATTCTCCACACTGGTACTGAAGCACACACACACACACACACACACACACACACACATATATATACAGTATAAATAAAAAATATTGTTTTAAAAGAAGAATGTATTTGGATATATATCCCATACAGTATGGGGGTCACACTCAAGCTCCCTGGAGCAGACAAACCGGAAAGCTTAGGAGGGAAACTTGGTAAGGCTGAACCACTAGCGAGGCTTCAGTTCCATTCTTTGGACCTCCTGCCAGGCTTCCCTCTGCCCCAAGGAGGCCAACAGGGCGCTGCTCAACGACAGTTCTTGCTGGACCGTCATTGGCACCGAGTCGGTGGAGTTCTCCTTCAGCACCAGCCTGGCCTGTACCCGGGAACCTGTCACTCCAGTGCCCCTCATCAGCACGCTGGAGGTGAACTGCAGAGTGGGCTGTCTGCCCTGGGACCCGGGAGGCTCCCACCCCTACCACACACACACCTTCCCTAGTCACCTACATCTGGTCCCATCCGCCCCCAGCTGAGCGGCGGAGGTGATGTGGCCACGCTGGAGCTGCACGGAGAGAATTTCCACGCTGGACTCAAGGTGTGGTTTGGAGACGTGGAAGCAGAAACTATGTTCAGGTACCGACGGCGGGGAGGTGGGAGGAGGAGGACAGCTTGGCCCCAAGGCTCAGAGGTTGGAATGTTTGCCAATCTATCCTCCATATCCCACCACCCACAGAAGCCCGCGGTCCTTGGTGTGCGTGGTGCCAGACGTGGCGGCCTTTGGCAGCGACTGGCGTTGGCTGCGCGCTCCCATTACGGTGCCGGTGAGCCTACTGCGTGCAGATGCGCTCTTCTACCCCAGCGCCTTCTCTTTCACCTACACCCCGGAATACAGCGCGCGGCCGCGGCCGCCCGACGCGCACGAGCCCGCCCCTGATGCAGATGCGCTTCTCGAGAGCATCCACCACGAGTTCACGCGCACCAACTTCCACCTCTTCTGCCCCAGCTAGGCCCCGCCGCCACCTGGCCACCTGCGGTTGACGCCTGCTGCAGTTGTCCCTAGGGAGCATACTGACTCTTTGCTGTAAAAGGGCAGGAGGGAGGGAGATTTCTCACGTGTCCTCAGGCCACTCGCTAGCCTCAACTGTCAATCAAGAGTGATGTTCTACCGTCTTCACGGTTTGAGGTGTGTCCTGTTTGTTTTGTTTTGTTGTAACCTTGTAGATCCATCCTTCTGTCTTTGTCTCTTTCTAGCTTTTCTGAGTCCTTTACAGACGCTGAGGATCCATGCCTAGGGGATCTGTGTCCCCACTTGAAAACAAGTCACATGACTACTGCTAGCTTGTCTTGGGCGCTGATCCTATCTGGGGTCCCTCTTAGAACTAGGCATCAGCCCCTGGCTACACACCCTATGGCACCCTTGCCTAGGTTTGATCTCTGGCCCACAATATTAGCAGTTGGGCAGTGGCCTGGGACAGAAGTCAAGCTTTGTCCTCTTTGATTACCCATAGCCACTTCTCCTTCAGGCCCAGTAGGAAGCAGTCTGAGGATAAAGATCGCTCTACAGTCCAGGTATAGGTGGATGAGAACTGTGGCAGGGGGTGTGGGGCAATGGGGTGCTGCTGGGTGCTCCCCAGATCCTGTCCAACTCAGAATCTGATAGAGCAGGTATCTTTAGGACTCTGTAGAGAAGAAATGCCGTTGGAGAGAGCAGACATCCTAAGCCTGGCGGACATCTGAAAACCCTGGCAGCCAGCAACTAGCTATTCCGCCATGCCAAGCAAGACAATATCGCAGATACAGAGGCAAACCTGGGGCCTCTTCAGACCAAAACTTTCCCAGGCAAGACAGAAGTTATGAGACAACTGGACAATAATGGAACTGAGAAATGGGTCTCTGAGCATAGAGCCATGGCTGGAACCACAGCCCCTCTCTGGTCAGCCTTCCCTTTCCCTGCCTGCTCTGGGCTTATATGGAAAAGGAGACCCTGGAGGACCCTGGCTTGGGCTGTGAAAACCAAAGACAGACAACAGTGAGTGTCAGCCTCTGGTCTTGCCTGGTAGAGAGAACTGATTTGAAATACGGGCTCAGTCTCCGGCCAAACCACCCTGAACATGCCAAATCCCCTCTGAAATGTGGGTTCAAAGCTCTAATGAGCTGGAACTTTCTTTAACCCTTGGAGGAAGAGGTCACTTCCTGTAAGACCTCCCACCCACAAGTGTGGAAAGTCCCATACGAAAACAACAATAAGATTTGTTCATGCTGGGGCACACACCTTTAGGTCCAGCTCTCTGGAGACTGAAGCAGACAGATTTCTGTGAGTTTGAGGCCACCCTGGTCTACAGAGTGAATTTCAGGACACCTAGGGCTGTTACACACAGAAACCCTGTCTTGAGAAAGAGAGAGAGAGACTCAACAATCTTTTCTTTTCTTTTCTTTTCTTTTCAACCCCCAAGACAGGGTTTTTCTGTAGCTTTGGTGCCTGTCCTGGAACTAGCTCTTATAGCCCAGGCTGGCCTCGAACTCACAGAGATCCACCAGCCTCTGCCTCCTGAGTGCCAGGATTAGAGGCGTGCGCCACCACCGCCCGACTAGTTTTCACTGATTTCGGTCATTTACTATCGACAAGCTCAAATACTCCATGAAAGACAAGGAGGAAGCTTACTCAAAGCCCACGTGGCCCTGACAGTGAATCTTGGCTAAGAAATGCAGGTACATTTTTGATGAGCTATATGCCCAGTGTGAGTACCTGCCTCAAAGACTCTGTATCATCATCCCATGGTGACGCTGAGACAGGGAGGAGGCAAAGGAGAGTCCAGAGTATACCAAGAAGGGAGCTGGGCTCACGGGCCATTCAGTTGTCCGCTTAGCTTTCTCTGCAGTGCCCCAAGGCCGGTCTGAGCCCAAGCCCAGGCTGCAGCTCTGTTGTCTACCTTATAACCAATGGTCCCACCTAGAAGTCTTAACTCGGAGCTCCAGCTCCAAGGTCTTGAGTTCCAGCTGTGGGGGCAGATGGTGGATTTACTCCTTGACTGGAGTCTGCATTTTCTGATGCGAAAGCTTTTCCTGCCCGTCGTCCTCACAGCACTGGGTCTTCTGTCTCCTTCTCCAGCAGGCAATCCCGTCATCAAGGTTTAGGGATCCTATCACTTCTTCTGCAGCAAAGCCCCCCTCCCCTTCCCTCTCTCTCCATTGCTCTGCCATCCCAATCCAGGAAAATGCCATAGGAATTCTCAACTTTCCAGTGTAAAATGAAAATCCATGAGCCCCCTAAATTAAAATCTTTTTAGTAATTTTATGACAGGAGATGATTAACGCAGGGCCAGCCAGAGTTCTTCTTAGGGCTTCACACACTCCTGAAACCAGCCCTAGCCACAGGTTTTCATCTTGTATTCTACCAAGTTGGTATTCTACCAACCCTGTATTGGGTTGTCCTTGCTGTCTGTGGGGTCCATATGGAAATGGGGTTATCATTTATTTGTTTATCTCTCTGTAGCGCAATGCCTTGCACAATAAATTGGGGCTCCATGTTAAAAGGAACTGTATTGCATTGCCAGATAATGGCTTGCAAGTGCAAAGAAAAACCACCAGGTGGCACTGTTCCCCTCACAAACAGTATGCTGTGAAAAGGTGATCAGAATCTTGCAAGAAAATCTTTTTCATGTCTTTGGAGCTCTCTGCAGGTTTACACAGTCAGTTCTACATATCTCCAAGAAATTTATGAAGTCTCTAAAGTCCACTCATGGGTCCGCTTACTTCACTAGACTCAGCTTAGTTGTAAAAATTAGCTGTCCTTAGTGGATGTGGTAGCAAATGCATTTAGTACCAGCACTTGGAGGCAGAGGCAAGCAGATCTCTGTGAGTTCTTCATAGTGAGTTCCAGGACAGTCAAGACTACATAGAGCAACCCTGTCTCAGATAAACAGACAAACAAACAGACAGATCCTTCCAGGCCACCCCACAGATCAATTAGATTGAAATCTCTGTGGAGAGGGGACTGGGCATCTGTACTGTTGACAAACCTCCCGTATGACTCCAAAAAAAAAGTCAAAAGTTGAACTACCCTAGTACTCATTCTCTCCCCCTCTTGAAAAAGGGTAAACTGAGGCTACAAGAGAGGAGGCTAAGCTCACATCCTGGCCTGCACTCCTAACACAAAGCATGGGGTTCCGAGAGTCTCTTAGCCGGCATACCACACTAGGCTACAGATGGAATGTGTGTGTTGGAGGTAGAACCGAGTGGGAGGACAAGACAGACATCTGGTCCCCAAACTCCAGTTCCCCATCTCTCACAGTTCTGAAGTTCTGCCGTTCAGGAAAAAGTCTCCCCATTTAAAGACTGACCTTGGGTTACTTCTCTGGCTTTTGTTTCTGTTGAATTAGGTTTTCTGCAAAGAGAAATTACTTAGAACAACAGCATGGTGCAATTTTCAGACATTTCCCTCCCTGGGGAGGATGTGGATGTCTGAGATCATAGACCATGAAGATGTCAAGGGAGAAATGAATGGGGAAGTAAAACCAGCACCACAATATCTACAGGTTTTGTCTAGGACGAGTCCTATATATACTCTACTCTTCCGTTCTCTCTCTCTCTCTCTCTCTCTCCCTCTCTCTCCCTCTCTCCCTCTCCATCTCTCTCCTTCCTCTTCTCTCTCTCCTAGTCAGGTTTTTCTCTGTTCCAGACCCCCCCCCCCCAAGGACCGAAGTAAGGGTAGTGGTAACCCAGTAACACTTTTAGTGGGTAAAGTGGCAAACACCTGCTGCAGCTGGCTGCTTGCGGTGAGTGGGGGTTGTGGGGTAGGAGTGCAAACAAAATTCTGGGGAAGGCAGAACCTTGTGGCTAAGTTCTTCATGAATAAACCCCAGCTAAAGAGCATTTTAGCCAGCAGTGGGGGAGGGGACTGGGACTGTAGCTCAGTTGGTACAGTTCTTGCCCAGCCTGCACAAAGGCACATAAAACAGGCGTGCTGGCACGTGCCTGCAATTTTAGCACTCAAGAGGCTGAGTCAGAATCAGGGGTTAGAATCAGAGGTTTAGGAAATTCAAGGTGGAGAGTGGGGTGGCGCACACTTTTAATCCCAGCACCACTCAGGAGGCAGAGGCAGGAGGATCTCTGTGAGTTGGAGGCCAGCCTGGTCTACAGAGCAAGCTCCAGGACAGCCAGTACTACACAACAAAATCCTGTCTCAAAAAACAAACAAACAACAACAACAACAAAAAACCCACAAACAAAAGAAATTCAGGGTCAGCGTCTAGGTACATAGTGAGTTCAAGGCCAGGCTGAGCTAATTGATACCCTGTCAGAATATAGGGAGTGTGGGGTACTAAGGCAAAGCCCATCTCCACCGCATTCATCCGCGAGCCACTTCTCTCCGACCTTGGCTGTTAGTCTGACGGGGTATGCTGCCCACAGTTATGCCTGGACACACGTACATTGTGTGTATTTACTCCGTGCTTGTATTTATAGTCTCTTCACACTACCATCCACATGTATTTTCAGAGGTGTCTTAAGGTGAAGAAAAGCAGTTCCAGTTGTAGCTGGATCCAGTAGGCGGCAATCCTGGAGTCAAAGCCACGTGTGTCAGCTGGGTGCGCTTAGCAGGCTCAAGTTATTTAAGATCTCCAAGCCCTAGTTTCTGATTCCGTAGATGGGAATTGGCAGCCTCTGTTTCATAAAACACTGTAGGTGAAGGCTTTTTTTCTGGGATCTGACCCACAGCGACCACTTCCTGTGGGCTACCTGCTGCCGCTGTTCTTGTTTTGTTTTGTGGGTGGGAGGATACAGAAGCAGGCTCTCACAATAGCCCTGGCTGACCTGGAACCCAAAGAGACCCCCACACCTCTGCTTCTCCAGTGCTGGGATTAGAGGGATGAGCCACCACGCTTGGCCAACATAAGCACCTTTCAAAGGGGAGACTATTATCCTATTTGCAAGATGAGGCAATCATTAGGCCACGGGAGGTAAGAGACGGCTCTGGACCAGTTTTCTGTTGCATAACAAATAACCACAAAAGTATCAGGTTACAATACCTATACATTGTTTGGCGTTTCCATGGAGTCCAAGAGCAGCTGCCCAGCTTAACTGGCTTGCTCGGGGTCTCCTAGGGCTGTAATCAAGGTCTCTTTGATGCAAAA